ATGGTGTTTTCAGTATTCTTCCCCAACACCACGACTCAAAAGTATCAACTCTTCTTTGGTCTTCCTTGTTCATAATCCAGCTCTCACATGCATATGAGGTGACTGAGGCAATTGAAAAGACCATGGCTTGGGTTAGGTGCACTTTAGTCTTCAAAGAGCAGACTTGCCCAGTGCAGTATGGTGTCTGGTGTCTTGATTGCTGCTTCCATTGGTGTTGATTGTGGAACCAACTAATATGAAATCTTTAAGAACTTCAATCTTTTCTCCATTTATTGTCATGCTGCTTATTGGTCCAATTGTGAGGATTTTTTTTTTTTTATGTTGAGATGTAATCCATATAGTAGACTGAAGTCTTTAATCTTCATCAGTAAATGCTTCAAGTAATCTTCACTTTCAGCAAGCAAAGTTGTGTTGTCTGCATATCATGGGTTAATTATTCTTCCTCCAATCCTGATGCAGTGCTCTTCTTCATATAGTCCAGCTTCTTGGATTATTTGTCCAGCATACAGATTGAATAAGTATGGTGGAAGGATACAACCCTGACACACTCTCTTTCTGATTTTAAGCCATGCAGTATCCCCTAGTTCCATTCAAATGACAGCCTTCTGGTCTATATGTAGGTTCCTGATGAGCACAGTCAAGTGTTCTGGAATCTCTTCTTCTCAATGTTATCCATAATTTGTTATGATCCACACAATTGAATGCTTTTGTATAGTTAATAAGACACAAATAAACATCTTTCTGGTATTCTTTGCTTTCAACCAAGCTCCTTATGACATCAGCAATGTTATCTCTCATTACACATCCTCTTCTGAATCCAGCTTGCATTTCTGGAAGTTTTCTGTCACTATACTGCTGGAACCATTTTTGAATTATCTTCAGTAAGATTTTACTTGTGTATCATATTAATGATATTGTTCAATAATTTCCACATTCTATAGGATCACCTTTTGTGGCAGTAAAAGTTATGTGTCAACTTGTCTGGGCCTGGTTGAGTGGCCGGGCAGCTGGTGGTAGTTATTCCCCATGATGAGACTGGCAGTCAACTCCATGGTGGGATCTACCACAAGCAGCTGAGTAGCTGTTTTAGGGATGTGGTCTGTTTCCCATATATAAGAAGCAGCTTTGGGAATGGTCTCTAGCTTATGGCACGCTTGAACCTTGCATGTAGCTGTGCTCTGCCGACCTTGGGATTTTGAATAGACTTGAATTAATGGCCTGCTGTGTGGTTTGGTAACATTGGGACCGTACCTTTTTACTTGTCAACTTTGGGCTTGTCAACCTCAGCAGACAGCAGCTTTCTGAGTGAAGAGAAGCCTCTAGCTTCAGTGGGTTGGGAGCAGGAGGCAGAGCTGAAGCACAAGGTAAGGGGCTTTCACTCAGCCCCTAGAGCCTGGCACTTTGAACTCAGACTTAAAGCCTCCCATCCATAAGAGAATAAACTTCTGTTTAGTTTGTTAAGGCCATCTCACGTGTGGTATATTACTGTCAGAGTGGCACTAGGTAACCAAAACACCTCTTTTTGGAATAGGTACAAATAGGGATCTTTTCCAGTCAGTTGGCCAGGTAGCTATCTTCCAAATTTCTTGGCATAGACAAGTGAGTGCCTCTGGTGCAGCATCCATTTGTTGAAACATCTCTATGGGTGTTCTGTCAATTCCTGGAGCCTTGTTCTTTCCCAATTCCTTCAGTGAAGCTTCAACTTCTTCCTTCAGTATCATTGAATATCATCTGAATATAGAATGACTTGGCAAATCTTACATATTTTAACATATCCAAAGCATCATATTCTGTTGGATCACCAGTGATCCAGCAGAATGAGGATATTACGGAACAATACCATTATACCACATGCAAGTAAAATTTTGCTGAAAATAATTCAAAAACAGTCACAGCAGTACATTGACATGAAACTGCCGGAAATTCAGGCCAGATTCAGAAGAGGATATGGAATGAAATAGATTATTGCTAGTGTCAAATGGATCTTGCCTGAAAGCAAAGTATACCAGAAAGATGTTTACCTGTGTTTTATTGACTATGCAAAGGCATTCAACTGTGTGGATCATAACAAATAATGGATAACATTATGAAGAATGGGAATTCCAGAACACTTAATTGTGTTCATGCAGAACCTGTACATAGATCAAAAGTCAGTCATTCACACAGAATAAAGGGGATAATGAATGGTTTAAAATCAGGAAAGGTATGTGTCAGAGTTGTACCTTTTTACCATACTTATTCAATCTGTATACTTAGCAAATAATCCAAGAAACTGAACTATATGAAGAAGAATATGGCATTAGGATTGGAGGAAGACTCATTAACAACCTGTGATATGCAGATGACACAACTTTGCTTGCTGAAAGTGAAGACTTGAAGCACTTCTTGATGAAGATACAGCTTCAGTATGGATTGCATCCCAACATAAAGGAAACAAAAATCCTCATAACTGGACCAATGTGCAACATCCTAATAAATGGAGAAATGACTGAAGTTGTCAAGGATTTTATTTTACTTGGATCCACAATCAATGCCCATCGAAGCAGCAGTCAAGAAATCTAACAACATATTGCATTGGGCAAATCTATTGTAAAAGACATCTTTGAAGTATTGAAGAGCAAAGTATTGAAGACTAAGGTGGGCCTGATCTAAGCCATGGTCTTTTCAATAGTCTCATGTTGAATGTAAGAGCTGGGCAGTGAATAAGGAAGACCACAAAAGAATTGATGCATTTAAATTGTGGTGTTGGTGAAGAATATTGAATGTACCATCATCTGAACACATCTCTCTTAGCAAAAGTATGGCCAGAATGCTTCTCAAAAGCAAGAATGGCCAGACTGCATCTCTCATATTTTGGTCATTTTTTTTTTTTTTTTTAAGGAACTGCACTCTATAAGATACAGCCATTGAAAACCTTATGGAACACAGCTCTACTCTGACATACATGGAGTCACCATGAGTCAGAATCAACTGGACAGCAACAAGTTTGTGTTTTGATGGGTCAATGCATTGCATTAAACCCTTGAGAGGATTTAAAGACTGAGTAACAGATGTGGAAAGGGAAAGATGTGTCTAGTAAAATACAGGGTCAGTGAAAATGGGGAAGACACTCAACAAGATAGATTGACACATTGGCTGCAACCATGGGCTCAAGCATAGCAGCTATTGTGAAGATGGTGCAAGACTGGGCAGTGTTTCGTTCTGTTTTATGTAGGGTCACTGTGAATTGAAGATGATGGCACCCTAACAACACAAAGCATCATATTTGCTTTTTTTGATACATTGTACCAATTATCATTAAGATTGGAATATTAAGCATTAAGATCCACCCTCACCCCAGATTTATTTGTTGTATTTGCAAAACTGACAAGTCCAGTTTTTGACAAGTGTCTGCTATGGTCAGTGTAGGACCTGGAACAAATGGTTTGTACTTGGCTACTGACCAAGAAGCACTTCAAATGCACCCAGCAGTGTTATGAAAGAAAGGCCTAGGTGGTCTACTTCCATAAGATTGAAAACCAGTTGCCATGGAGTTGATTCTGAGTCACATCAACTCTATGTGTTGCAGAGTAGAACTGCCATCCATAGCATTTTCATGGCTGTGAATTTACAGAAGCAGATTGCCAGGCCTTTCTTCCGAGGTGCCTCTGGGTTCAATCTGCCAACCTTTTGGTTAGTAGCCCATCACTTAACTGTTTGTATCACTCAGGGACTCCTCTGCAATATCCCCTTATCCATATATACTTCATTTAGTAACCCAGCCAGAAATGTTCTCTGATGTCATATTTGGCCTTGAATAGTCACTGTTAGCATATGTTTCTTATTTTCTTTATAGAATGTAAGTTCCTGGAGGGTAGGGAATGTTGTATTTAATATTGAAACAATTAAAAAAAAAAATTAAAGCCGTTATTGTCTGGTCAGTTACAACTCATGGTATTCCCATGTGTTAACAGAGTAAAACTGTACTCCATAGGGATTTTGGGGGGCTGTAATCTTTATGGAAGCAGATTTCTAGTTCTTTCTTCCACAGTGTGAACAGGTGAGTTCAATCTGACAATCTTTTGATTAATAACCAAGAGCAGTTAGTTTGCCCTACCTAGGGAGCCATTGTAAAGACCATACAGTATTTTTTAAAGGGCTTTTCACATCTGTTACTCAGTCTTTAAATCCTCTCAAGGGTTTAATGCAATGCATTGACCCATCAAAACACAAACTTGTTGCTGTCCAGTTGATTCTGACTCATGATGACTCCATGTGTGTCAGAGTAGAGCTGTGTTCCATAAGGTTTTCAATGGCTGTACCTTATAGAGTGCAGTTCTGCCTTTTTTTTAAAAAAAAAAAAAAAAAAGCCTACATGTTCAGCAAGCAGAGATATAAGCTGATTCTAGTTTCCAAAAGCCTGGGTATAGCTCTAAGAAATTGTGGCATTGTGCAGTGAAAGCTTTCCATAAAGATTAGAGTTAAAATGGATGATACTAGGAGTAATTTTTTAAAATTTTAATTCATCTCTCAATTTTTAACTTCAAATGTATTCTTTAGGCTTGCAATCAAATGAACTGTTTTGATAATCTGTCCATATATTTTATCTGGATTTTTAGCCAAAATAACCCAAATCCACTGTCATTGAGTTGATTCTGAGTCATAGCGATTCTATAGGCCAGAGTAGAACTGCCCCATAGGGTTTTCAAGACTGTAAATCTTTACAGAAGAGAATTGCCACATCATTCTCCTGTGGAGTGGCTGGTAGGTTCCAACCACTGACCTTTGGCTAGTTGAATGCTTTAACCACTGCACCACCAGAGCTCCTTTCTGGATTTATAGTTTAAGTAAATAGTCATGTAGACCTTTTCCCAAAAAGTATTATTAAAAAAGCAGAGATCTGAGGAAAGTTAGTTAAATAGACTGTTGGACTCAGGAAAGTTCTTCCCTTAAGCCTATACCTAAAGTTGATTGTAAGAACTGATGTGTGAGTTTGCCCATCCTCCCTTTGTCCTTTTCAGTTCACAGAAATCAGTCACCGAATATTATGTTCCTATGACACAAATATAGATGAGCTCTTTTCAGAAATTGACCACTGCTTAGCTATAAATAGAAGCATTCTTCAGCAGCTGGAGGAAATGTGTGGTCATGAAATTACAGAAGAGGATTGGGAGAAAATTCAAATTCAGGTAGGCTTTAAAGTGGTGGCCTCATCAGTAAATGCACCTGTGACCACGAGTCTGGAACAGAATGACATTTGAGGGGAAGTTCAGATAGATTGATTTTATTAGTTTCTGGAGCATTCATTTTAGGATAAATAAAGTCCAGTGATGTCAAGCCTAGAATATTCTCTGCCTGGCTATGGCCTGGCACCAGCAATGGGAGTCCCTTGGGCTTTAGTCATGAGGACAGTGATTATTTCCAAGGTCCCTTCAGTTTAAAATTGTGATTTGATGATGCCTTTTTATGAAAAATGAAAATGTTTAAGGGAAAAACTGCCATATATATTACCTTCGTGGAAAGCTTTCCTGAAAATTCTAATGTGTCCTTCTCTTGCATCTGTAGTAGCCCATGGGAGCTTTGAAATGACTTTTTAAAAACCAAGGCTGGGGGAAAAAACTTAATTAAAACTTTACAAACATTACTTAAATCATTATATCCACATAACATGGATGAACGTGGAGGACATTATGCTGAGTCAATCACAGAAGGATAAATACTGTATGCATCCACTATTGTAAAATGTCAAAGAAGGATTTCCATATGAAAGGAAACTTTCTTTGTTGGTGACCAGGGATGGGAAGGGAGGGGAGGTAAAAGTGCTAGATAGGTAAGACACAGGTTTTGATTTGGATGAAGGGAAAGGCAATATACCAAAAGTGAATGACCAGCACAATAACACTAAGAGGACACAGAGAGGTGCACGACAGGTGCAGACAACAAAGATAAAACACTTTTACATACACAACACTGCATTATCAGTAATAATAAATATTACTCTACAGGTGGATGCATAGGCTAAATGATCAGGTATGTCTGGGCAAAAGGGAATATACCCATCACCATGTACAAGTCTGGCAGACTATTTCTACATATATGTGCTATAAGAATGCCCATATATATAATAGAGCTAACAGGGGCCAAGTTATGGTAACTTTTTAAGCACAGCCAGCCACCCTGAGGAAGCGAGTTGGACCCATGGGCTCAGGATTATGGTTGCGGAGCACATTAAGCTCAATTGGCATAACATACTACACAAAAACATTATTCTGCATCCTACTTTGGTGAGTAGTGACCGGGGTCTTAAAAGCTTGCAGGCGGCCATCTAAGTTGCAACAATTGGTTTTTCATTGTCTGAAGCAAAGAAGAATGAAGAAAATCGAAGAAGCACAGAAACAATTACTCCAAGGGACTAGTGGGCCATGTGAACCTCAGCCTACATGACACTGAGACCGGAAAAACTAGGACCACTGTCAACCACTCAAAAAGGGATCAGGAGATCCTGGATAGAGTGGGAGAAAAACGTGGAACAAAACTCAAAATCATAGAAAAAGACCAGTCTCTATCATCTGATAGAGATGATGTCACCCTTTGGGCCTGGAATTGAACTCACTCCCATGGTGTCCAGCCAAATAATAGATGTATAAGGTGAACATTTATTTATACCAGGCAGGTACACTCCCTAGGACACAACCATGAGAAAACAGAGGGCAGTACTTGCACAGGGAGGTAACTCAGAAGGCAGGAATGCATAGGAAAGGAGGACACAGGGGAAAAGTAACCGCAAGGAAGAAGTGGGAAGAGGACTGTTACATTATGGGGATTGCAATCAATGTCATGAAACAAAATGTGTATGCACTGTTGTATGGAAAATGAATTTGTTGTATCAACTTTCACCCAAATCACAACTTAAAAAAATTTATTAGGAGAATTTAAAAAGAAATTTAGCAGCTACTTAAAGTCAACTATTATTTTGAGGAATACTACTCTTTATTGCTTCATTAAAAGGAAATATATTATCAATATTTAACATTTTATAAAATTTTTGTCTAAAAGTTGTATATCAAAAGTGGATTTCTATATCTTCTCCATTTTTCATAAGAGGAATATGTTATTTTGTTATTTTAACACGGAATGAAACTTTTTTTTTTTAAAAAAGATGATACATGTCTCTTTGTGTCTATTTCTCATTTAAATTAAGTACTTTCTATTATGATGAGACAAACAGCTCCCAGTAACAAAACTCCTTTCTTCTCCTGTGTCACAGGCACTGCATCAGGAAATCTATGAATGCTCCATTTGCCTCACCCCACTCTCATTTAACAGCAGTTTCCACAGTGGATCTTCAGGGAAAAGCCGTAATGAGCATCCTCGTGAGACTGTTCTGTTGTCTTGCTCACATATGTTTCACCACACTTGTCTTCTCGCTTTAGAAGAGTTCTCCTTGGGGGTAATATATACTTGCCCTCTATGCCGCTCTTGCTATCAAAAGAAAATCCTTCAATGCTAAATTCATATTCAGGAAAAATTATATAATTCTGGGGGAAAAATTTTGGAAGAATTACGTGAGTTTTGGGTTAAGTAGTATAGTGTAATCGATTCTTCAAAGAAACTATTGGTAGTTGTGCATAAGAAATATAACTGTTTGAAAAGCTACCTACTCAGCCAGTTTTAGTCTTTCATCTATAAAATGCAAGTTCAAATTCATGTTTAATAAGTTGAAATAAATAAGGATAAGGAGTCACTAGAAAATTGAGATTCAGAGGTTCTATAACATACTGATTCGTTATGTTTTTAAGTGATCAGTTGGGATGGTGTGCAAGAACCTTAAAATTACTGACCACTTGACAGTTCTAATTGGCACCAATTGGGTCTTCCAGAATTTTTATAGCAAACTGTCTTCTGATGCTAGGCCCAAGTGCATTGCTAACTTAAAATATAGTAGCTACTGTCTGACCAACAAACTTGCAAAATAAAAAACACTCTCTAAATATATTCGAACATTTTCCATTAAATGTTTTAAAGCCTCCTGCCATCTCTAACACTTGTTTTGTAATAATTGCTTTATTTCTATGTAATACATTACAGTTGTCATTGAGCACTTGGAATATGTAAACGAAAAATACAAAAATGAAATATTCAGTGTTTCAACATGAGAAAATATTTCAACATCAGAAAATGGCAATCAAATTTTAATAATTTTCATCAATTTATATCTCTTTAGCTCATACACAAAGAAAATCCTTTAAGTGTTTTGCATACTGATTTTGAATGGAATCTTGCAATACAAAATAATTGTATTGATTAGGTTAATACATCATTAACAGATGAAGCCCCAAATCTCTGTGGCTTTTCAAAACAGAATGCTATTTCTAAAAGTCCTGTCAGCAGCAGGGTAAGGTGGGGACGAGAGTTTGGCTCCATTCAGTCAGTCCCAGGTTCTTTCTATCTTGTGGTTCAACAATCGCCTTTGCTCTCAGTCTTCTGATGCATTCTTTCATCTAGCTGGAGAAGAGCAACAGAAGATTTTTATGAGCCTTGCTTAGAAGTGGTGCACATCACTCCAGCCTCAGCTAACTACAAGGGTGGTAAGGAAACAGTGTAGCTTGGCCTGGAAGAAAAGAGGAACAGGTCACCAAAGAGAAGTGCTAATGTCAAGAGCATGAAATAATCCATTATATAATGTGGGAAGAAGTAGGAAAATTGTTATCTCATCATTTAAAATAATTTTATGTTTAAAAATCTATATTATATATAGCTATATATATCACACACACACACATATGATTTGTGAATATATATACATATATTGGCATGTCCTTAAACATTTTTCAGTGATGGTGTATACATTATTACAAAATCTGGAAATGAGTAAAGAGAATGTTTTAAACAATGAGTAAAAGTGTTTATTGTAAGATAAAGGGAAGTTAGGTCACTCCAAGTCATCTGAATCCTCTCTGAAATCCTCGTCTGAAAGCCTCACTTCAGAAGCCCTCACTTCTCAATCAGAAGGTCAAAGAGCAGGTGTTTCTCGCACTGTTCCTGACTGACAAGAGCATAGGCACACGATGAGGCCACGATGATCTGATTCCATTGCCCCAAACTTTGAACCTGGAAAGAATGTCCCAGAGATTCATGGATTATTCATAGAGGAGTAGAGTGTGGTAGGGTTCAGTGACTAGAAGTGGGCAGCAAAGATTGTTTCTGTGGCCATGTCCTAAAGCCATTGTTTTGGTGGCATAATGGTATTTGCTGCTGCCAGGCTATCGTAGTCCCTGACTGTTTTTTGAAACCCTTTTCTCCAGATTTCCCACTGACTCTGTGAGCTATCACATATTCTTCCAGTTAACTCCTTTCATGCTTGAGTTGGCAAAATCCATTTGGTTCTTTGCAACCAAGTGCTTTCCTGACAAAGAAAATAGTGTTAATTGTAAACAACAAATGCTCAGGAGAATCAGTGATGATGGAAAACAGGAATTAGATAGCGGACTTAATTGGGGATGAAGGTAGTGAAAATCCCAGGAGTATTCAGGGAGGAGTCTGAGGCATCCTTTTTGTGGTAGACAATGACAAAACAGGTAGTTTTCTCACTGCAATGTGGTCATCTGCAATGGCATGCCCATGAAGGCTTTAGGAGACCAAGTTGCCACCATAAAATAATATAAAAGGCCTTCAACCCTGTAGCTTTGGACAATTTAAAGATAATGACAAATTTCAGTTCAAGTCACATTCTGGCTGTGCTAAAAGAACTTCATCCCTTGCAGCTGCATGGCTAAAGTGGTAATAAAAAAAAAAAAAAAAAAGGAAACTTTGATCTAAATTACATCATCAGTTGAATTCACAGCTTCATCCAGTCTCTTATATGAAATTTAGGCATTGATCAAAAGTAATCTGGGTCCCTAAGAAATGTAAGTTCATGGGAGGATTCAGACGACTTGGAGTATCCTTGAGGCGTCCTTGTCAGACGCAGCAGTCCCCACTATAAGGAAGCTGTTCCTCCATAATGTGAAGATGTTGTGACCCACTTGCCTGAGTGAGCTGCCTTGCATAATGATGCTCCTAGTGCTACCCTCCTCATACATCTTTTTGTCTTAAACATATGTAATGAAGAGTCTGGAATCCCTAGGTGTTGCAACTGGTTAAGCACTCAACTACTAGCAGAACGATTGGTGGTTCAAACCTACCCAGAGTCACCTCAGAAGATAGGCTTCACAATCTGCTTCCAAAAGGTCACCACCTGGACAACCCTGTGGAGCAGTTCTGCTCTGCACACATGGGGTAGTCGTGAGTTGGAATGGACTTGAGATAACCAACAACAATTAAGAACCTAGCATGCCCTGGATTGGAGACAATTATTGTATGAATATTAAGTCCAAGAATAGAATGCTTAGAGATGTGTGAGACTAGAGGCATTTTTTAACAATAACAATCCACAATGAAGATGTATCCCTATCCCAAAGCTGTATGCACCAAATAACATCGTAGTAAATATTGTAGATTAAAAATGGGGTGATTATAAGATACAGACAGAAAAAATTGTGGTAGGAGAATTTAACTCATCTGTCAAGAAGACAAAAAATTAAGAAACAGAGCCTCTGAAAAATGAAACTTCAAGGACCCAGCAAACATTTATAAATGAACCAAAAAAAGACCCAAACCAATGCTGTTGAGTCAATTCTGACTCACTGTGACCTTATAGGACAGAGTAGAACTGCCCCAGGGAGCTCTGGTAACATAGTACCGAAGGCACTTGACTGCTAACCAGAAGGCTGGCAGTTCAAACCCACCAGCCACTCCTTGGAAGAAGATGGGGCAATCTACTTCCGTAGTGATACTGCCTCAGAAACCCAAGGAGGGGTCGCTATGAATTGGGTCTGACTTGACGGCACATAACAACAACAACAACAGAACTTCCCCCAAAGAATTTCCAAGGCTGCAATCTTTACAGAAGTAAACTGACATCTTTCTCCCACGGAGTGCCTGGTGGATTTGAACCACTGACCTTTTGGTTGGCAGATGAGCACTTTAACCACCGCTCCACCAGGGACTCCCAGACATTAGAACAGAAAACTTTAAATGAGAAAAATAAAAACAGTATAAGGTCATTGTGTTGATAGAGTTATTGGTCCTATTTCTTCACACCCTTGTAGTAGTCTTATACAGCCACACTTTTGCCATGGCCTCAAAGTGAGCAGTGTACTTCCCCATACCTAACCAAAGGGCATGTTAGTAGACATGGTACAAGCAGAAGCTTGGAATGTGCTCACATGGTTGGGCTTGCCTTCTGGCTTTCCTGCCTCCTGTCATGAGAAGAACATGCTCCAGGTAGCAGCATAAGGAGGATGAGAAACACCTGGAGTAGATCTGGTTTCCAACCAGCAGCCAAGCCCAGCAGCCCAGCCTGGATCAGCTGACCCCCAGCCGACCTGCAGATGTCTAAGCCAGAAATAAATGCTGTTTGTTGTAAACTGGCTGCCGCTGGCTGCATTTGGTAGGGTACTATCAGAGCAGAATTTAGAGGGATAGTTGAGACCCCAGAAGTTGAAGGCTTGGAAAATGAAACTCTTTCTACCAAATCAAAGGTGTGGCTGTAGATCAAATCCAGCATGCTTCCAGTAAGTCATAGATTCAGAGTACACACCAAACGAAGGGTGTGGCACTTACATCCTGTGTTAAGACCTCTAAAAGGATTAAGGTGATACCTAGTAGAACCTGTCAGCTGGACAAAAGGCGTCCCAGAAGGATTAATGGTATGGTCTCACAGAAACCCTATGGGCCCAAAATACCCATAATTAAGTCTATATAGAGAAGCATATTTTAAAAAGAATTATGTGTGTGACTTTCGACACTGGAATCAAATACATAGAAAGCCCAAAGATTTTGGTAGAGCTAATTTGACAAAAGCACTGCTAGCCTGGACTAAGAGCAACTGAGACTATCTGAGATACAACAAACCTCTGACCCCCAAGTTTCCTGTTGGAAGAGCGCAGGCTGAGAAACCCTCTTCAGAAGTGACCAAGGAGGATTAAGGAAAAGGAAGGACCATCCAAAGGGTGGAGCAAGAGCCAGAGAAAACAATGGATAGGGGAGCTAGTCCTACAGGTAGAACAAGGACTAAGTTACAAAACATTCTCTACCCCTAAGAGAGAGGATGTTGCTTAGAGGTGGCAGGACTTTGTCTCATGAACTTAGACATGTTATCAGCAAGGACCAGTCACTGGAGAAGAACATCATGCTTGGTAAAGTAGTTGTTGTTGTTGTTGTTAAGTGCCGTCGAGTCGGCCCCGACTCATAGCGACCCCTCCTTGGGTTTCCGAGGCAGTATCACTACGGAAGTAGGATTGCCCAACCTTCCTTCCGAGGAGTGGCTGGTGGGTTTGAACCGCCAGCCTTCTGGTTAGCAGTCAAGTGCCTTAGGCACTATGCTACCAGAGCTCCCTGGTAAAGTAGAGGGTCAGCAAAAAAGAGGAAGACCCTCAATGGGGTGGATTGACACAGTGACTCCAACAA